ACGAGGTGTTGTCAGAAGATGAACAGCATGGCGCAGCATTTTGCCACCACGAACATCCCATAACCTCACTGCTTTCTGAACAACCTTATCACTCCACTGATACAAACCTAGGCTGTAAGAAGAGTTTGTTAGTTACAGATCTTTCCCGTAAATACATGCAACTATGCAAAGTTTCATTTCCATTAAAAAAAACAGAGCGAAGAATAATCTCTATTTCTCATTCTTTATGAAGTTTACATTGACTTTGCAATGCTTCTCCTTTGTAAGGTACACATTTATTGCATGCACTACCAACAAAGATGACTCACTACTAATACTACTTATACCTTTAGACTCAAGATACATTTTCTGCAGTTATGAAAAATGTACTGCAAATTGTTTATTCAACAACAACATCATCACACATTAGCCTACAAGCACTGTCATTTCTGCTGAACTACAAGCAAGGAAAAATACATGCCTTAAAAAAGAGTGACTGTATTCAATGCACCAACACTGAACAGACTACAAAAAATGCAAGATCCAATCCCGTAAAGTGTTCAGAAAACATGGCTAGTTCTAATGTCTAGCTACAAGCCTTCTGATAAATAAAATCCTGCCTCGTTATCACCCCTATGCATAACAAGGTAAGTGTTTAATGACAATGTAAAGGAAGACTAATATGATTTTTTTTTTTTTTTAAGCACGAACATAATAAACACAAAGGTATTAAGATGGATTTTCAGCAGGCTGACAGCAAGAATGTATCAGACAACCTGAAGACATCCTTCAGTGTACTGAGAGGTCCAAAACCAATCAATACCTTTCATTAAAAGGAGGGAGTCCATCTGCATATCTTGCTGTCAAAGGTTTTCCATCATCATCACGATAAAATGCAAACAGTCCAGCAGAGAAACCCTGCAAGTAAAGCAAGAAGGAACCTTTGGTAAGACATTCACACAACAAGTCCATGGAAGCGCTGACATTTGCAGCAGGCACACTTAAACTGCTGCACCTCAAAGCAAATTAATGCATGAGTTGAAACAGGCAAAGTCACAGCTTTACCCTCACCAGACATCCTTCTCTTCCAAGAAGGCAGCAGCACAAGTTTGAGGGAAATGCATTTTATAATGTCAAACCTTACCAGTGCATGGATAATCTCGTGTTTCACTGTAGATAACATGCCAACAAATTCCTGAGGTTGTGTTGAGATCATGTTTGGACACAAGTTAGCATACCCTGCTATTGGCCTGCAAGACAGTTTTATAATTGTTTTCAGTACAATAGCAGCAAATTCATTTACCACAACAGAAGTAGGATCACAAGATAAAGTTCAGGCAGTAACAGTGGAGGATTACTTTTGATTTAAATACCTCAGCTTTGCAAGTTGAGCTTTATTCTGCCATTGCTGTTTTACATGGATATAGCATTAGTCTTTATTTCAATGACTTCTACTTTGTTATCCTATACATAACTGTATAATCAATGCATATCAAGATGTTACAATCACAAAATAAACAAGAGAGTTAGGCAAAGTGGACAATGATAACAAGAGAGAATAAATGGAAGGCTTACCCTTATGCTGGGCTCACCACAAAACACCAGAAGGAGGGATCTCCAGACAAGATCCTTCCCCACTGGTAGCAGCTCTTAAATAGGCCTAGGAGGGGTGCAGCCAGGCTCCACCCCTTCCGGCAGCACAGGTGAATTGCCTTCAGCTGTGCTCCTCTGGCTGACTCATGGCCCTCAGGTGATCAATCAGAGGTTCAGGCAGTGACTCAGCAGTTCCCATACAATAACATAAGTAGACAAACTCCATACATAAGCTCCAAGTTTAATTTTTAAAGAAGTTTGTAGCAGAGAGAACACTTGCCTGTCCATTTCAGCTTCCAGTTGGCAGTAGGCTGCATATGCAATGATGTTTTCGTGGCCACACCTTTCAGTGGTGAGAGCACTGACGTAAAGGACAAAGTCAGCATCTTGAACCCCTTCTTGGTCAGGTACGTCGGAGAGCTGCTCATTCTGATTGTACACCCTGCATTGCTTTGACAATGTTCAGATGGAACCATTAAAATATATCTGCTATGACAGAAACTTTGTATTAACAAACTACAGCTAGCTTGAGGCTAAGAATAAGCCCCATCCTAGGACAGGTGAAGATGAGAAAACTCCCTGCAACAATGCTAAATAAAACCAGAGCCAGGGAATGACTTACAAATGACTAGCTCTCATGATTGAGAAGAGGGGCTTGCCAAGCCAGATGTCCACAAAGTAGCACACTTTGTTTCCCATAACAATTAGAAAGTTCTGGCTCACAAACAGCATACATAAGCAGCCATTGCTGTACAGTCACTCATACTTAGCATCGCCTGTGAGTGGTCACATACACACAGCAAGCAATATTAATGTTGTCAGTAGTTTCCACAACCAATAGTACTTAAAAAGCTAAGAAGCACCAAGGTAGCTCAGAGTACCTGGAGGTGTTTTTCTGGAACAATAACTGGCCCACATCGTGTGTGGTTGGCACAGGCCCCTCGGCAGTACCTGTGAGGGTCAGCTTTCCTCCTCAAATACTGGTTCGTTGCACACTGCCTTCAATCAAACATCAAAGACAGACAGCACCATTTTAGAGTTTAAAAGCAAGCATAGCATAATCTTACAGCATCCAATGACACTACAATACAAATATTTAACAAGGCAATATTGTAAACTTTAAAGCTGAAAAACATTAGTTATGCTAGCCGGAAGGTACAATGCCTCCAGTTGTTAATGGAATATTCTACAGGTTCAAGGAAAGATTAGGAATAGGTACATAAATGGGGTAGACTAAAAAGGAAACAAGCAGCACGTATGCTCTTCATCATCTCCAAATACAGGTGCTGATCACGGAAGGTTTGTACATTTTCCTCAGGTAGCATCACCCACCACCACTGAACCTCAGGGACCACTGGTCTGAGCCAGGGCATTTCTTGTGCTCTTACTATATTCTTTTTTTAAAGTCTATACTTAATGTTAAATACCAATGACAGTACTAGACTTTCAACAAAAGTTCACATACCTGCTTAGCAAGATAGAACCTGTGGATTTGCGCACTTGAAAAGTCTTCTCCAAGTAAGAGATAGCTTGTGGGAAAAGTTTGTTCTAAATAGAACAAAACCAGAAGTCACCCAGTAGCAGTGCAGACAGAACTTGCAAGCTTTAACAACCAAGGTACATGAAATGTGCTAGGTGCTGTGGCTTAGAACAGCAGAGATGCAGACTTCCTAATGTCTTCCCATGCAGTTCAGTGGTTATAAAAATCACAGAATTGTTTAAGTTGGAAGGGACATTTAAAGGTCACCTGGTCCAACCCCCTGCAGTGACAGGAACACCTACAGCTCCATCAGGTGCTCTGAGTTCAGCCTGACCTTGAATGCCTCCAAGGCATGGGAGATCCACCACTTCTTGAGGCAGCCCATTTCGGTGCTTCGCTACTCTTACTGCAAAAAATGTTATCCTTATACTCAGTCTCAATCTCTTCTCTTTCAGTTTGAAACCATTTCCCTTTTGCTATCACAACAGACCTGCTGAGAAGCCTGTCCCCTTCTCTCTTACAGCCCTCCATCGGACACTGAAAGGTCGCTCTCAGGGCTCCCCACAGCCTTCTCTTCTCCAATGTGCGTTGTTTATCACAGAATCACAGAATGGCCAGGGTTGGAAGGGACCTCAAGGATCATGAGTCCAACCCCTCTGCCACATGCAGGGCCACCAAACTCCCCATTACATGCTAGTTTATAAAAAGGAAAGAGGGAAAAAAAAAAAAAAATGCCATATACCTTTATAAGGTGTCTTTTCTCCGGCAGCAAACTATATTAAAAAAAAAGAAAAAAGTTATTTTTTTCGCCAATAGGATTTCTGCTCGCAGATACGCGGACAAACCGCAGCACAACGCCATACTCACCCCTCAACGCTCCTGTCGTATATAATCTTAATCCTCAGACGCTGATCCACGCTTCTCTTCAGGACGTGGCTTTCCCTCAGAGGAACCCGATAGACCACCTGCCCGGAGAGGAGCACAGCGCTGCGGCCCCGCTCCCTCCGAGCCGAGCCCGAACAACCGACCCCTCGCACCGACCTCCCCGCCCCGCACCGCCCGAGGAGCCCCGCGGCCGCACCTCCCCGCGGCCGGGCACGCGGTGCTGACAGGACGAAGAGGAGAAGGAGGGGGAAAGGCCGGCGGCGCGGCCGCAGCACAGCAGCAGGGCGGCGGTGAGCGCGGCGAGCAGCGGCCGAGGAGCAGCACCGCGGCACCCGCCGCCCGGCTCGGCGGCCATCTTGGGCTGCCCATCTACCGCGTCGCCATGGAGGTGCTGCCAGCCAATGAGCGGGTGGAGATAACGGACGGGGGCGGGGCGGAGGCGGCCGGCGATCCTGATTGGGTGAGGCTCTTCCAATGGGGGGAGGGAGGGAGGGAAGAGCAAGGCGGCGGCGAGCTGTGCGGGGTAATGCAATGTAATGCAGTGCAACGCAATGAACGGTAGCGCGGTAAGGGGAGGGCCGGTGTGGGAAGCGCAGTGCAGCGCGGAGCAACGCAGGGCTCATCTAAGCAGCGCTGTGCAGAGAAACGCAACGTGTTAGCAACGCAGCACTGAGCAGCGCGGTCGAGGCAGCACTGCAGAGCAATGCAGCGCCGTGCAGTTCTGCACGCTGCAGTGCAGGGCTGTGTGCCTCAGCTGGGTGCAGCTTGGCATAACGCAGCTCTGTGAGATGTAATGCAATCCAAATGGGTCCACACAGTCCTGCGGCTGCAGGAAGTTCAGTGCACTGGGTTTGCTGCAGCCAGCCGGTTGAAGCTCACAGTGCAGTGATGCAGCTCCCAGGCCCCCTTCTGCCCCCAGGAGGTACCCAACGTCAGTTAAGGCTTTCCAGCTTCTTTCTGTGTATAGCATCGCTGTACCATAAGTGTACTCTGATGTAAAGCAACACTTCTAATTGAAGTGCACCCCTCTGTGTAAACAATGACTCAGCAATACCACATAATCTACTTGTAACTTCTTTTAATAAAATGAAACACACAGGGCTTTTAATTGACAGTTGCAAGGTGATCACTCTAAGCACATAACCTGCATATGTTCAAGGGTACATATACCATTATTTTTATTTGCTTTACGGAACATGAAGTGTTTTTGAATGGTTTACCTACAATATGTATCTATGCGTCCCTAGAATGTGTGCCCATACTGATTGAAAGTGTCCCTATAGACTACTCTGTCCAAAGAGTTAAGGAGAAAGGTTATGTTTCCATTTCATCCAGCAGAAATTAATCGCTCTTTACTATCCTAAGAACTCAGAAGCAATAACTGTGTCCGTGGCATCTGAACTTACATAATGCATAGAATCACACAGACATTAAGGCTGGAAAAGACCTCTAAGATCATCTAGTCCAATCATCAACTCAACGCCACCGTGCCCTTCAGTGCCACGTTTGCCCTTTCCTTGAAAACCTCTTATAGCAAATCTAAAGTCAGATGGCAACAGGTATGGCACAGCAGCTCCCGCTCCTATCAGTTCCCATCTGCCTTGCTTGGGAGGAAGTTAATCCTGTTCTCAAGCTCTTGCTACACCTCTACAGAACTGAATTTGAAATGTGAGTATTAAAACAATGCATTCTGAAATAATTGCTTATCCGGGCCTTGGTGACTATGAAGACTTATTTAAGCACCTGAATAGATTAAAAAAGCACTTAAGAGACCTAAGAGTAAACAGCAATCAAGAAATGCCTGCTACATTTTATATAGAAAAGGCACCAGCATTTTTTAGACTATGAAGAGTATTCTACTGTCTGAAAGTAATAAGGTATTCTGGATATGCCTGAATGTCATTAAATATGACAAACATCTTTGGAGAATTCTCATCATCGACTACGCTGTCGTACAGGTTGGTAGGATCTGCTGAGTGTTTTGGAGGTGGAGTGACCAGCCCTCTGCTCCCAACACAGAACTCCCCTGTGAGGACCCGAGCCAGGTACATGTATTTTCGGCCACTCGTATCTGGTTTTGAGTAAATATCCTGAGCGGAGTAATTGGCATTAACGGCAAAGTAGGTTCCATTTCCAATGATTGCAGCTGTTTGGAAAGATGTTTTCAGATACAGTTAGTGTTTTTATTCCCAGAATAATCTCTTAAACTCTTTTTTAATTATTCTACAGAAATTATAAATTGCTTGTAGTTTATCAGCATAGTCTGAGTAATAACCTTTTTTTCAGACAACATGAATCCCCTTAGACCAGGCTGAAATGTCAACCAGACCTGAGACAGGATGCCTAAGCCTCTCAAAATCAAGTCAGCCCTAGAGATCTGCTTGGTGCTGTGTCACCTTCTTTTAACTGCTTTGGAAAATGACTCACCATTAATTCCAGCAAAGCCACGATTAAATCCATTGTAGTTGATTGCGTTCAATGAGATTTTAGCTGTCCCGTGAAACAACAGCTTCTCATTATCTTTATGTTTGTTCTTCATACACAGAGATTTCTTTTTGATTTGGTAGGTCTGCCAGAGGAAGGGATTTTGTATTCTTTGAATCTGCAAAGTCACAAAATAGAGCTATGGTAGGGACCAATATCAATCATGACCACAAGACATCAAAACCAAACCAAAAGGAGAGAATGACAATAATTACCACTATACCCTGTTATTGTGTGTCTAGTGAGCCTCCTGAAAATCAGAAACCAAGGTAACTTACAAATGGTTTTTGAGCTTGCAATTTTTGGTACACATTTGTCTTGCCTTCCATACTGTGTACAAGGCAACTATAGCAGCACATATATATACATATATAGCAAAGTATTTTCAGAAATAGGATGTTCTACCACTGCTAGTGGAAAGGAAGCATTGATGTGAGATGCATTCCACACATCTTAGTAATCTTTACTGATGATTTTTCCCATTAGAAGGGTAGCCTATAGCAATAGCATTACAGTGAATTTATCTTCTAGACTTCAGCAAAAAGTCAAACTTACTTCTTTTCCTTTGTAGCCATGAGAAAATCCTATTTAAAAATAAATTGGCAGGAGGACAGATGTTGCTGGTTTTTTGTTTTTTGTTTTTGTTTTTTTTTTAAACATTGTACTCTAATATCTTGCTCTATTCCTATTTTCTTGACCACAATCATTGGAGAATTTTTTTTTTTTTTCAAACAAGTTTCTCACTCTTAATATCATTTTATTTTCTCACAGAATCCTATCTTCTCCCTGGCAATTAAATCTCTATCCATTGTTTTATGGATTTTTCAGTAAAAAAGGATCAAATCATGACACTTCAGTTATAACCAGCACTGTAGCCTAAAAGGCTCTGTCTGGGACCAGCAGGGAAATCCACTCCTCTAGTGGTAAAACAGTAAAAAGCTTTACAGCCAGCCTGCAAGGACAGGGTTGCAGAGAGCTAACTGGGCATCTGGCTCTTTCAGTAGAGTCTCTGCATCTCCAAATGTTTCTCCCATCGACAGCCTGCCACCCTACAGACTGATGGGCAGCTCTGCTGCATTCTGTGTCTAAATCTTGTCAACTTTGACAATGAAATGAACTGCAGAAGATGAAGCAGAATTTAATCCAATGCATAGCTGGAAGGCTGCAATCTTTCATCTCCTAAATCATATTTGCTACGTGAAATAAGATGCTTTCTTTTTCATTTTGAATGATTTTGTTCATATGCCCAATTTCAACATACAATTCCCTAATGCATCATGTTAACTATTCAATACCACATTAGTTTAACAGAGTTATAGCTTGCATACTTATGGTCACTCATTTCGCATTATTAGGAAGGCAGAAATGCCAGTGCAACTGCTAGGAATTTTTGGAGAGCCTGATGCAGGAGGTGTATTAGATTACAGAAATGTGACAAACAGATACTTGAGAAGTATATTAATGCTTTCAGCCCAAGAGTTCATTTTTTCCCCCCATAGGATTTCACCTTCTCTATGACAAAGCTGTGAGCAGTTTTCTGAAATCTCTTCTGAACTTCGAGATACTCCTGACACGACTGTGTGAGGGCCACCAGTTTGACTCGTTCCCCTTGCATGTCTTCCCACTTTGCAGGGAACTCTATTGACTGCATATCTGCAAAACAGGAATTGTTTTAGCATCACTCATATCTAGCTCACTTTTATAGTTTGACTGCAAACAGGGGGCTGAGAGCACAGTAAATATTATAAAATACTCGATTCCAAACATGTTCCTTTGGAAAATTTATGTATGAAGCCTATGCTTACTAGTTACAGACACATGGATAACTTTTGTATTTACAATAGAAGTTATGATTTCTGTCATACCTACTCTACTACTGATTACGAACTTAGAATTGCTAGCTATGGCATGCCTGGCTAAATAAGTAAGTAAGTAAATTGCTAGGGAGAAAATTACTTCTTTGGAATAACTTGTTTGTAATTATCAGAATTATCATTCAATAGCCACTTTTAAAAGTTTCTTATTAGCAAAGCTGTAATTTACCTTCATTCTTTGGCACACGTTGAATGTTTATAGTTCTTCCTTGGTCATTAAGAGCCTGTAGAGTATTCAGATCCACCCTGTAGTTGTTCTTGTTAATTCTGATGGTCAGATGTGTTTTTTTGTCTATTTTGGCATCTTCCAGCTGCATATTTGTCAGTTTATCAAAAGCAACAAAGCTATCATCAGTTCTTTGATACCTCCATTCTACTAGGTTATAAACAAGTTCTGCCTTGGATTGCTCTTCTTGAGTAGTCATTATTTTTTTGATCATTTTTTGAACTTCCACAGAAACAGAGCAGACTTCCCTGCTAATACCAGAAATGGTAATGCAAGGTGGAGAATGGCTCTTATCAAGCTGAATGGTAACATGCTTTCCTCTCTGGAGATCTGCCAAAGCCTCAATTTGTCTCTCATCAAAATTTTCAATTAGCTCATCTACAATCGTGTTTTCAAACTGTTCCTTTAAAATCAAATCTACTATCCAGGACTCAGTTGCATCCACATTTCTTTTGCTTTCTCCACAAATCTGAAATGTAACTTTATCAACTTTCTTCTCCAAAACCTTCTTGATGGATTTTTTCTGGCCCCAAGAACACGCTGTTGAAGAAATACGTGTTAGTTATTTAGTTTTATATAGAAGACCTTTAGTTTTGTGAGCCCAAGCATACAGACAACCCACCTACTTACATTTTAGCGTAGACATCCACGATTGCGGTTCAAACAAAGCTAAATCTTCTCTTTTCATGCTTTCATAAAAGTCTCTCAGCATATGTTCCTGGAAGATTACTATTTTAATTTCTTTCAAATGCTGTACGGATCTACTGCTTGCAAATTCCACTATAGCATCCAACATATCATCAGCTACCTTTGCTGGGTTCTGTCGTGCAGCACCTACACAAGAATAGACGATGCATATCAGGAAGTGAACATTATTTAAATCAAGGCAGCATCCAGCTCATATAGGTTGGCATCACTCTCTCTTCTCCCATTATACCTGCTCACCAGACACCCCAATCACAGCTCTAATCACTTCCCCATGAAAACACAAACCTGTTCCAATTGCTGGAAAGGCAACAGATTTGTAGCTCCTTAGCTCACACTCATGAAGTACTTTGGAAACCTGATTCTTCACATTCATACTGTGAATCAAGTGGATGATTTTACTGCATGACAGTGCACCACCCTCTGTAGTAATAAAACCACTTTGAAGCTGTCCAGCTGGAAGAGAGAAGATAAAAAAGGAGACATTTTCAAAGTGGCTATTTTCTGATAAGGCAAATGTTAATATGGATGCTAGTGTACACTAGTGGGATAAATACTTGAAGAAGAGTAGAAAAAGCAGAAAGAAGTCCACTGTGAAAGGTGGTGACACACTGAAACAGGTTGCCCAGAGAGGTTGTGGATGCCCCATCCCTGGAGGCATTCAAGGCCACGCTGGATGTGGCTCTGGGCAGTCTGGTCTGGTGGTTGGAGACCGTGCACAGAGCAGGGGGGTTGAAACGATGATCATTGTGGTCCTTTTCAATCCAGGCCATTCTATGATTCTATGTGTGATTATCCTGGCTGTAGATTATTCAAGTTTTCTCTGTAAATATTCCAATGTCAGAATTTCATGAGACAATAATTCAAGTGATCGCACGTTTTCTGTTTGACTGCAATTTCCTGGAATCTCTCCTTTGAAGCAGTTTCTTATTTAGTACAACTTAATTTATGTTCAATTTTAAATACAGCTCACTTTTATTTAAAGGCATGCCAATTGAATGTGCACAATTCATTAATACATGAAATCCTCTCTTTTGTCACTTACTCAGTGAAAGCTCAAACCGTTACTCTGCAGAGGAGCCGAATGTTTAAAATAATGTCTTGAAGTTAATGACTAATTAATTGGTCTAAGAACTGTGGTACAGAACCTTTGGAAGGGTCCTTGCATTTTTTCAGATCAACACTGTTGGATTATAAACACTTCAGGTCGAAGTCACGTGTGAGGATAAATGGACTCGTGTACAGTCCAGCGTGCTTAAATAACTTCAGAGCTGACATCTTACACCGTATTATTTTCCAAGCATTTATTAGCATCAGAAGTCTTCCAACATCTGTGCAGTTGTGAAAAGGAAAATTCTTAAAGCATACACCAGGGCAACAGGATTTCTCTGAACTCCTAGCACTGAGAGGTTTTTTTAATAAAAAAAAAAAAATTATGCTATCAGGATACAGAGTTATAGCAAGAACAGTAAGTGTTTTGAGAGAAGAAAAAGAAATCTAGTTTAAAAAAAAAAAGTATGTGTTCTAACATACCATATTGATCACATTCTTCTTCTACATCGGAACCAGCAGCATCCATAATAGCTTTGAAAACCCCTTAAATTATTCAAGAAAATACACATTAAGTCAGCTTCAGTACTTCTACTCAAAACTCCAGCTGAGTTCTGTAGTTTGAACACTAAGTATCAGAGTACAAGAGGCAAAGTGCAAAACCTTGCCAGTTCCTCCGAGTGGCTTCTATCACAAACTGGCTGCAGATAGAACACTGTCTTTGTTATTGATTGGAAATCCTTAGAAATGACTCCTCTTTTGTTCTATTTGGTAATATTATGACCTTCGCCAAACTCTCAGATTGCTTTGAATTATACATTTGGTGTCTTCACTCTTACACAGTTGAGACTTGGGCTTATAATGAAATATAAATGTAAAGAAATATATTAGGATGATAATTTTTCCATAATTATATTTGATCTCAAAAATCCCTTTTATTTAAGCATTTTTCATTTTAAACCTCTTCTGAGTAGTTTGAAAACTACATGAATATTTAGAACATGTGATAAAACTGTTTAAGACCTATTTCCTGACAAATCACTGCTTTCTATTTCTCATCTGAAAAATAAACTTCATGAATGTTTCACATATGGACAACGCTCTCCCCCTCTGTGTTCCTAGAAGCTAACATAAGTTTTTCCACTGAAGAACTACATATTCACTGTAGTTCTTTATCAGCAATACCTGATGTGGCATCAAATGTTCGGTTTGATATATTTACAATGACCTCTGTGTCTTCCTTGGTAATATCTCCACTAATTACTTTGAGCATAATGGAGCCAATCTTCATTTTATAAACTCCCAATGCTTCAGTTGAAACAGGACTGATGAAGTCTGCAAGGAAAAGAAAAAGAAAAAGATCTTAGAACACTACAGTTGCAGCTTTGGATATTATCCCCTTCCACTGAAGGGAACTGTAAATTTATCCTTTTGTGGAATTTACTGTCAACCAGTTCAACAGCATCTTGACAGTCTCTGCCTACTTCTCTTTAAATCCATTTCTGAAAGCAGGAAGGTACAGTACTTTTCCTGCTTAAATACTGTGAAAGTGAAACCAGCTCAATTCCTGCAAGTTTGTGCAGTATCAGTTCAGGAAGGACTGCTAGAGACATGTGATGAGACCAACTCTGTGAGAGACTTTCTTCTCTGAACTCTAAAATGACATGAAGCATTATCAGCAATGGAGATCCCAACACAGCCTTAAACCCTTTGAGCTGGAATGCTAATGGTTCTCTTACCAGGTTGTCCTCCTCCATATACTAAGATTGGTCATATTAAGCTCTCCCTCAACAAAAGAAATTCCTCATCAAGATTTTTATAGATGGAATTTAAGAATGTCAGTCCATTAAGAGGAAATAAACGTTCCTTCTTTCTTATGATATTTCATCTGTTTTCTGCTACATATAAAACCACTTGCAGTACTTACATTCTCCTCCACCCACCCTCCACCCTCTTCTCCCACCTCCTGTCCCAACAAAACTTACCTAGCCGAGGTGCTACATCACCAGTTACCCTACGTTTTAGTTCATTGGTAAAAGCCTAGAAAGAGAGAAAAGGCACCAAAGATACAATTTCAGGCTTTATGTACTAAATATTTATATAATTAAATTTAACTGTCATGTGCCACAGATGGCTTCGCCCTGAGAAAAAATACCTGAATGTTATACATATCATCCGGGTGCAAGAGAAAGTGAACTTCCTGGAGAGTCTTCCGACTGTGACTGCTGCTGAACTTGAATACTTCATCAAACATTAACTTAGAAACAACAGTTTTAGGGAATCTAAATCCCCCAGTTCCAATAGCTGGAAAAGTGATGGAATTCAGTCCAAGTTCTTCAGTTTTCATCAAGCATAAATTGACTATGTTTTCTAGGGTCTGTAAAACACAGCAAAGATCAATTATTTAAGAAAATGAGAAAAAAATACTTTTGCATTTCATCATACACTGTTAGATCCATAGAGAATATGCTGGTATAAGAAAAAGCTGAGGGTACACAAGGGGTCTTTAAGGTCGCTGAAACAGGAGGAAATGAAGTTCATTTGTCTAGAAGAGCCGTTTCAAATGCTGGCATTTCAAATATTTTAAAACTAAATTCAAATGTACCTTCAGGGCCTGCCCACTTCCTCTGTCCCACTGGGAAAGTACAGCATGAAACACGAACTTGCAAGCCAGAGTGCATCCACTCGTGCAGAGCACACTCCCGTTACCAACTGCCTGTTGTCCTTTTTCCTTGTCAAACTCCACCTGGAGCTCTGGTCCAGCCTCTTCCAGCAAGGCACGGCAGAGAGGCCCCACACCAAACCCCAAATCTGTGCCAACACTGTTGACGATAACATCAGTCTGCAACAAAATGAAAACAAAAATATCTCTAGCCAGACTTCAAAAATGCATTTGCCAGCATCGTCACAAGATACAAAATGTATTGAATAGAGCCCATGTAAGCCACAAAGCTTAATGCATATTTCCTCCCTTTCACTGAAAAGAGACTGTATTCTGATCAGAAGCAGCATCTTTTGCACAAAAACAAGGTGAAAGAATTGCTCTCGTGAAGCAAAACAGGCCAAATTGTTTGCTTTCCAGATCACAAGAGGTATTTTATTGGCAAATTATTTAAAATGTGTGCCCTGCTGAACATTTTTACATCTAATATTGCTCTTCTGTTGCAACAGGCTCTTAGAGACAGACTGGGGAAGAAACTAATATAGGGGGAAAAAACAGGTCTAGACTTCAAAAAAAAAAAAATAAACCAAGCATGCACTCTTCTATGAGACTGCTTTCCTAAAGTAATTTCTTCAATGACCATGTCACAATTCACACTGACCCTAGATCTGGAGAATAAATAAAACCCAGCTAGAAATAAAACATCTGAAATTCATGGCTGCCCACTAGAAATAGTGCATTCACCAGAATGACAGACCCCAGTCTGAAATCTATCGGTTCTGCCATCTTGCTTTCTTGTTTAGCTACCACATGGAAAATTTAAAGACTTACTGTTGCATCTACAATGTCTTTCTCCTCCACTCGGATGCACAGTCCTTCTGCTGTCGTAATCATCTTCTCACCATCTGTAGCCACGCAAAGATCCTCTCCTCTCTCCTCGCTCTCACTCTCCCACTGCCTGTGATCTGTAGAGCATCCCTGCTGCGGCACTGAGGTGGATAGCTTAGTTCTAAACACTCTTTGTACAGTCTCACTCAAAACCTGAACTGTTTCTTCATCAATGGCAACAAGATGAATCTCCTTCAAGCTGCTTCCCCCACTGAATTCTTCCAGGGTTTTCTTGATGGCTGACACAATTGCATTTACACACTTCCGCAGCGGGAAGCCAAAAATCCCTCCACTTACAGAAGGGAAAGCTATGGAGCGATGATTATATTTGTCAGCCAGCTGCAGGCTCTTTTTAATGGCCTGTCTTAACAGGTACACACACTTTCCTACCCTCTTCTTCTTCCACCGGGGCCCAACAGCATGGATGACCTGTTTGCAGGGGAGCTTCCCCGCTCCTGTGATCACCGCACACCCAGCCTGCAGACTCCCCCTCTTCTTCACCACCTCATCACACTCAGCCTGCAGCTCTGGACCAGCTGCTTGGAGCAGTGCCCAAGCGAGGCCACCAATGTGTTTTAGGTCTTCGTTTGATGCATTCACCACAACATCAACTGGGTAATTGCACAAGTTGCCTTTATATACCAGCACTTCAACACCATCTTGTAGGATTTGCCTGTAGTGGAGCTTTCGTTCCTCATTATCATCAACATTTTCACTCTTCTGCTGTTCTTCTTCTTTCAGCCTGATCAGACAGTTAAACTTCTGCTTTGCCTCAAAAATAAATGTATCTTTCCTGTTGACAAAGAACTGCTTTGCCCCTGGTTTATCAATTGACACATCCTTCCAGTAAAGGGATGAGATAATTTTTTCCAACACAGTGGCTGCTTTTGACACTTCTGCTTTTGGTCCGCACAGGGAAATACACGGTGTCTTGGTATGAAAGCATACTGTCCCACCCTTGTTCCTCAGTTCATCACAAACAGCAGATTTTTCCTTCTCTATGAACTCCACTGCTGCCACCAACTTAGCAGGGATTTCTTTTTCCACCTGCGTGTTTCTATCTATAAAATCATAAAGGTTCTGATAAACTTCTTCTACAGTCTCAGTAAAGCCAGTAACGATCACTGTATTTTCATTTCCAATAGGTTCATGGATGACTACAGTTTCCTGGGAAGAGGGGTACTTCTTACGCAAGAAGGCAAGCAGATCACTCCACTCTTTCATTTTAGTGACTTCAGAGTCCTTCACATCAATGCTCTTATATGCTAGGCTTGCCTTTAATCGCTTTTCTCCTTCTGAAAGATCTTTAGAAGTCTCTCCAAATACCACCACAGTGTCACCCTTGAGCTCATAAAAAGCATTAATTTTGTGTGCTGCAAATAACATCTCTGACATTGTCTTACTATTTACACAGCGTAGGTGTAGGAAAACATTGTTATTAACATTAACTGATGCCGAAGGCATATTCAATACCTTTTCCAGTAAGTTGGCTTTGGTTTTATAAACTTCTGCAGATAATCCACACAACTGAACAGTCTGTTTTGTCTCATCATAAGAGATCTTTAAGCGTGGATATTCTTCATGAATTTGCTTTTCTAGCCCAGCATTATGCAAAACTGCATATTTCCCTGGGGTGATGGACACAGAAATTTCTATGGTTTGTTTTTTCCTTTCACTTTCCTCCATGGCTTTTTCCATGCATTCCCTCACTTTTTTCTCTGCACTGTCCACAGCTGCTCTGTTACCTGCTATCACCACCATCTCCTCAGAAATATCAGTTATGATCAAATCAGAGTCTTTCACCAATCTGTTCTTCACTTCTTTCCACTTAGCTGAACTTACTTTACACTTTATAGCTACGTAACGCGACATGATACGCGAGAACTCAGTGGAAACATCTTGCTTCCAGGTCTTGATCAACTTAATCATTGTTTCCTTCTGCTCAGAGATAGATGATGATGGACACAGCGTGATTTCTGGTTGAGCACAGTCTGCCTGTGGCCACTTTAGACAGCAATGGCAATTTGCCATTTCCTGGTTTATGGCTTCAGTCAGTCTATCTTGCCTTTGTAAAAACTGCCAGACATAGGGATCTAGTGGCATCACCACAGAGTCTGGCATCTTGGTAACTGGTCTGTCTTTTCCGTACAGAGCTGTTCCCAGCGAGTGGTAATATGGATGCACAGAAACCGGTGTTTCTTGAAGTAAATGCTGCTTTTCCAAGACAGTGCTTAGATCTAAGTTGTATACACAAATACACACATCATTAGTTCCAAATCAAGTAAATTAATCTATGGTTAACACAATTAAATTGAATAAAATAACTTGTCTTGTTTGGCCACTTGAAGGAGCTATTTTCATGTGTTTCTAATTTCCCAGGCACTCTGTAGGGGACAAGGGGTTCTGAATAGTTGAACGAATATGCTTATGTCATTAATTCCTTATACATCTGTGGTTTTCTTTCACTTCCTAGGGAAACCCCAGCACAGAGCAGGGCCAAATCAGGACAATACTATGAAATGAACCTTACTTTCAGCCTAAAAAAAAAACAAAAAAACAAAAAAACCTCATTGTCCCAATGCATTTTTTTTTTTTTTAAATAATATTTGCCATTTGGTAGAAGCAGACAAATGAAATGAATCATAAGATTGACAGGGGCTTAAAACACATTACCAAGAACTAAATCACATATTAACATAAACATTCCTAAGCAAATGCAGAACATCAAAAGAAAAGCAAGGACAGAGGCAGCCTTACCTTTGTGATCACAGAAAGTAACGATGGCCGAGTTCTCCTCGGGGAAGAGCTGGATGTCTGACAAAGGCCCACCTCCATTTTGTGTGTTCTCAAAATAAACTGTGAGATAGTCTGTGGAAACATTATCTGGTATGTTTTCAGCCTTGAGGCTGCGAGTCACTTCAAGAAGCCTGGCAGTTATTTTGAATCTTTTCACTCTTTTGTTTTGTGCGAGGTTGTTGATGAATTCTTGAGTATCTGTAGACAGAAAAGCAGCGTGAATTCAACATGCTTCCCCACATCCTTATCATTATGGCTGGCACAGGAGAGAGCAAAGTTTACTTTTCCCTGCATTTGCAGAAAAGACAGCTGCAAAATAACTCAGTGTTGTAACAAAAGGGGGGGAAGTGGACACAGCCATGTTACTTCATGCTATTCGTTACTACTTCCTCTGTCTCCTCACCCATATCTTGTATATACTAAGCACTTCTCACTGTTTCACTGTCTTCTGTATGTCACAGAGTTGATTAGATCAATCTACATCCATGAGAGGGGGCAACAGGCCTCTGCTCTCCCCCCCCCACCCCAGTTCCACAAAAATAGGAAGGAAGGGAGGAAAAGAACAGCAGCAACAATCTAAGGAGGAAAACTTATATTACTATAATATCAGAATACAAGATAACAATATAATACAATTTAACTGAAATTGGGATTAATAAATCAGACAAGATGAGAGAGTTCCCCGACCGAGTCAAACCTGAAAAGCTTGGAACGGCTAGGAAAGCACCTCCAGCACCCACTGCAAGGCAGCAAGAGAGCGCCCCTCCACCCAGCAGGGCCAGATCCCGTGACTGCTGTAATGTACAGGGATAGGTACTTGGGATTGGGGCATTAACACTTTAATGCCCAGTACATTACATGATGTTTTGATGTGGAATACTGAAACCCAAAAAACCAAAAAACATAAAACCATGACACTGGAACAGAGACTTCATATGCTCCAATAATCTACAGAATCCATCTCCATACTCAGCCTGTTTCTAATTCTCCATCTGTCTCAAAATGAGATACAATGTCACAATTTTCCTTTTCACTCTAAAATTTGGAGCACATTTTCATGGAGCAGTATATAAAACTTTCATCTTGCCTGAGAGACCACTGCAAAGGTAGTTTATAAAAACCTCAGTCTCTAAAAGGAAAGAAATCAAGCTCTGGATGCTACAATTCATACATATGCAATATGCATGAAAATAATTGTCAGTGTTCATCCTGTCTTACCAATACTTTTTAGAAAAGTAGCTACAGCAACATTTAACTCCGGTATCATTTCCACAGTGAAGTCATCATCCGCAGCTAAACCGCCGACATCCTCTAGCAGTATCTGTATGCATTTTGCACTGCATCCTTCAACATTTCCAAGCACTACAGAAGGTGAAGTCTCTGCAGACTGTTCTGCACCTTTCTCCATGGAGCGAGATCTCTCCTGGAGTTCACTCTTTGGAAAATCATTCTCTGTTTTCTGCAAAGCTCCTCCTGCAACATTTTTAACAGAAAGAGAAATAGACCCTGTTATATTAGTGCACATTTCCAGGAATAAACAGAATCATAGCATCATAAAGGTTGGATCAAAGATCCAACTTTCTCTCCCCTAGCACAGCTTGAGGCCGTCATCTCTCATTTTACTGCTGTCACCTGGGAACCAAGGCCAAATGTCACCTCCTCAGAACCTCCTTCAAGAAAGTTGTAGAAAGCCATAAAGTTTCCCCTGAGCCTCCTCCAGACTGAACAATGCCAGTTCCCTCAGCTGCTCCCCATAACACTTGTGCTCCAGACCATTTGCAGCTCTGCTGCCCTGCTCTGTACACGATCCAGAGCCTCAGAATCTTTCTCATAGCAGAGAGCCCAAAACCAAACTCAGCATTCAAGGTGCAGTCTCACCCACGCTGAGTACAGAGGGACAATTAGCTCCCTGCTCCTGCTGGCTGCACTACTGCTGGTAGAAGCCAGGATGCTGCTGGACATACAGCCAGCCTCAGAAGTATCCCCTGCCCCAAATCTGCATGGCCAAAGGACCACCAGCTATCACTCAAGATTTTTTTGCTGAGATTTTACTGAAATTGGAGGGGGGTTGGGGTCAAGCGGGGGAGGTGGGGTAGAGATCCACCTCAGCAGCTCTTCCTATTTCACCTGTGTGGCCTGAAGGTAACTGCAAATGGGATCTGAGAGAGTTGTCCCTCAAGCCAACAGAGAGCAGGAAGGCTCCTTCAGCTTCCAGACACATGGTCTGTCAAAACCAGAGGGTTCTGCAGGACCCAACAGGAGATGCTGCCATCCAGTAGCCACCCAACAGTACTCTGTCCCCAACATGGCAATTTCCCCTGTTAGGAGCATCCATCAGGGGCAGAAGCACCATCTCTGACACCAAGAGATATCTGTGCAGCCAGCTGCTGGCTGACCAGGTGGAAGACAAACCCCCAGCACCTGCAACTCAACCACAGAGCCACACAGTGCTCGCAGCAGCCATCCTTGCAAACAGTGGCAGCTTTCCTCTCACTGTCCCAACGAACACAAGTTGCTTTTGCTTAAGCAACCAATAACCCCCAAGCCATGCAGCAGCACCTTTGTTACTGTTTGGTGCTTTCTGACCTCACTGGAGACCCCCACCCCACCAGAACCCTGTGCCACCATGCAGGTCTGCGCAGACCCTTAGTACCCCACCCCCAGCCACTCTGTTATCTCACCAGGTGCTGGTCCTGTCCCTACAGCATCCTCTGGCCTCACACCTTCTGTGGGAACAGACACCTTCACCCCACGATTCCGACGGGGGCCCATGGAGCCAGCGGTCTGAGCAGGCCCAAGGGAGGAGAGGGAAATGCAGGAGCAGGGCTGGAGCAGGCAGTCAAGCCAAAGGGCTGCACACTGCTGGCTAGAGGGTTTCAGGAGCAAGCCTGATATACAACAACAACTGATATACCGAAGCCATAATATTTACAGAAGGGAGGCTTTGAAGGCCTAACAGCATAACCCTGACAAGAAGAAAACAAGACACAGCTGCAGAAGCAACAGCTCTACAAGTCACAGCTGCAGAAGTAACAGCTCTGTGCCCACCACTGCACCTCCACATCACAGACAGGAATCATCGGTGCCACCACAGCCAGTGCAGAAAATGTACAAAAGAGAAACATACAGAGCAGCATTAAACCAGATTTAGTACAGAAAGGAAAATGCCCCAGTGCTAGCACTGACAAATTTCCTGAGGAACTGGTCCTTCTTGGTGGCCTAGTATTGGCTTTTCACCAAGGCAGGTGTATTTTGATGTTAGCGCTGCTCTCTAGACTGGTTGCAGAGCCACAAAACTTGCTAGAATTTTGCTGAAAGGGAATCTGGACAAGTAGTCAAGTTCACCATGATAGTGGTGAGATGTGCCACTTAACAAAGCCTATTAACTGCAGAGAGTGCAAAGACACCTGGCCTGGGATTAAGACCCCCCCCATTTGTTGGTATGCATGTCTCATTTTAGAGCAGTTATGCAGGATAAAAGAACTAAATTCCTTTTTGGATGCATTTCTCTAATGAAATTGGCTAGTATAGAAGCTTAAAAGAGACACATGGTTTAAGCATGGCAGGGTGAACCCCATCCTTGGTGCACATACCTGGCTATGCATGCTTCCCTACATCACCTGAGCCCGAGCGTCAAACTCAGGAAGAAGTTTTAAGCACAGCACTCATCTTGGTTCAGTGTGGGATAGAGTTAATTTTATTCCTAGTAGCTAGTACAGAGCTGTGTTTTGGCTTTAAGCTGGGAAGAATGTTGATAACAGATACGTCAGCTGCTGCAGAGCAGAGCTCTGAGTCAAAGACTCTGCAGATTCTCATGCTGCCTGAGAACGAGAGCTGGGGGTGCACAGCCAGGATAGCTCACCCAAAGCACCAAAAGGATATTCCATACCATACAATGTCATGCTCAGTAACAAAATAGGGGCAATTGAACAGATGGGATTCCATTGCTCAGGGACTGGCTGGGCATCGGTCAGCTGGTGGTAAGCAACTGTGTCATGCACCACTTGCTCTTTTTTATTATTATTATTCCCTCCTTTCTCATTAAAGAGTATATCAATCCACCAGTTCTCTCACTTCTACCTTTCTGATTCTCAACCCCATCCCTCTGTAGGGGAGTGGCTGTGTGTGCCTGGCTGCTTATGTTTTCCCACATCACCTGGGCCAGGCTGTCAAATAGAGAGAGAAACTTTCAGTCCAACTCCCCACTGAATGGGAGATCTGCTTTTATTTCAGGAAGAATCATCACAGAGAGATGGACAACAGCTTACCTTTTCTTTGAAGGCCTCTCATGGCATCCAGAGCCTAAAGTAAAATTGAAACAAATTATCAGTGACTGATTTGTCATTCTCATAATTGTTTCAAAGTCCTAGTTAGGATTATAATTTGTATTCACCTTTGTGGGAACTATTTTTTCCTCAAGTGCTTCCTGTTCAGCTGCTGCTTCAAGCTCTGTGACAATGAACTTAAATTTCCCTTTTTTTCCCAAATCCAGCTCGTGAGTCTGTCTCTCAAGGACCTGTTGCTTCACTGAGGAAAACCAAAGAAAACAGTGACGAGCTGAACAGAAAAACAACTGTATACATTAAACCACGTGGCACATCCTACCATTTTGCTTAGGACTCATGTATTTCCCCGCTAAGTAGAAGATCTTCAAACTCAAGACACTAGCAGAGCATGTAGGGGACTTTCCTACTGAACAGGAAGGAAACAAGCACAGAGAATATCCCAGTGACAGAACACGGAAACATAAAGCTTCACCCTGCCTGCACTGCTCCATTACACTTCCCAGCCTGGGTGAGGGCTGCAGCCCCAAGGCAATACAGGAGCCCCAGGATCAGCCCCGTGCCTGGCACACCCTCTTCCAGCAGCATGAGGCTGTCATCTTACCTCAACTTACCAGCTGGGGAGAGGCAGCAGCAAGGAAGCATGGTAAGACAGAAAAATTACATGCACGTAAGTTTATGTACAGACAGGAATATGTACCTACATGTGTTTAACATAACTGGAATTGAGTGCTTCCTCTCTGCTGCATGTTTTTGTTTTGTATTTCTAACATATATCTGCTGTCACAATAAGGATTAACTGCCACCATAGTAATATCAATATATCAAACAAAACTGCCCTTGGTGCTGAGCCCCTTAGGCTCACTGCCAGCCGCCAATTGACCTCTGTTCACAACGACCCTTGAGGCCTGTTTTCTCACATAGTGTGCAGCACATGCATCCCAGCCATATGCTGACTGAATTTCTCTGAATTCTCCAGAAGGCTGTAGGAAAACAGCATCAAACTCTTTGCTAAAATCCAAGTAAACCACATCCACAGCCTTTCCCTCATCCACTGAAGATGCCATCTTATTGTTGACAAAAATTGGATCAGAAGCTGTTTTACAATAAGGGAGATGAGGCACTGGCACAGGTTGCCCAGAGAGATGGTGGATGCCCCATCCCTGGAGACACCTGAGGTCAAGCTGAACTGGGCTCTGAGCATCTGATTGGGATGTAGGTGTCCCTGTCCCTTGCAGGGGAGTTGGACCAGAGGGCCTTTAAAAGTCTCTTCAACTCAAACGAGTCTGATTTTACAGTAGTCAGGGAGGATCTGCTCTCCACAAACCCACACTGAGTCTGACCCCTTACTGTCCTGTGCGATGCAATGATTTGCTCCATAATCTTTGCTGGCACTGATACCATTGGAAAGTGTTATTCCCTGGATTTATTAATTTAGAGATGATAAAGGTTTACTCAAAAAAACCACGCAGAGGATAGTACTAAGCACTGAATTCAGGCTTCTATATATGTAAATGCTCATACTTTATATTGCACATTATGATGCATATTGCATATTATATCAGAGTTGCACAGTGTGTATCAGATGGTAAATCACAGGTTAGAAGGAATCTTAAAGCCCACCCAGTTCCAACCCTGTCATCCCATCCAACCTGACCTTGAGCACCTCCCTAGAAGGTGCCCTTACAGCATCGTATGCTACATCTCATCAAGCCAGCGTTTCCCTGCCCCCACGCCTTCTCCCCGTCCCGGCTCACCGTCGGGTTGGGCGAAGCAGACGAGCAGCTGCCCGGGTCCCCCCCGCAGCTCGCACTCGCCGCCGCCCGAGCGCTTCGGGCTCTGGAAGTAGAGCAGCAGCTTCTTGCGCAGCGCGGCCGGCGGCTCCGCGGTGCCCCAATCCCCGCGCACCAGCAGCGGGAAGGAGCCCGGCCGCGGCCCCGCCATGGCTGCGCTCTGTCAGCGGCTCCGCTGCCTTTCACTTTCTCTTCCCAGCCGGGGGGGAGCGGCACGGGGCATTTCCCGACACAGACCTGCGGCACGCACCCGGACTCCGCCGCTGCCCCGCTGCACATCACGCTTTCACCTTCACTACACATCACGTTTGCACACACCTCCCTGGTTAGCCTCCTTCCCAAGTTTTTGAGAACTTATTTGCATTATACTTTTTAATCAGAGATACGTATCATAGAATCATTAAGGTTGGAGAAACCACTAAGATCACTGAACCCAACCATCAGCCAACCACTGATCGTGCCCCTCAGTGCCACATCTCCACATCTCCCCTGAGCTGAGCAATCCTAGTTCCCTCACCCACTCCCCATAGGACTTGTGCTCCAGTCCCCTCACAACTCACTCTCTGAACACACTCCGGTGCCTTAATGACTTCCCCATGGTGAGGGGCCCAGAACTGAGCACAATACTTGAGGAGCAGCCTCACCCAGCAGCAAAATGTAACAGAATGCTGCTGGAAGGTTCAGCCTCTACTGCCATACCACCAACATCCAGCTTCTATATTGTGAGCCAACATAACAGTATAGGAGGAATTAAATGGCCTTAAAAAAGCCTTAAAAGACACCCCCCCCTTCCCCTCCCCTTTGCCCTGTTCTTTTCTGCTTAAGATCAGAGGAACAACACTATAGCTGGTACATAACAACAGAAGCATCTTCCCAACTTCCACTTTCCTGGCTCTCAGGCTATACCTAGGTACCTCAGGCATTAACTGCTGGTAGCAAGTTAGCTCACATTGACAGAACTTCTTACTGACCGGCCTATTGTATTAAAAGCAAGTAAATCCACATTAGAGATGGCAGTCTCCAAGCACTCAATAACTGACCCATTCAAAACAAATGCTAAATGTCTAGAGATCATGTCAGACAAACACAGGCCATTAAATACAGGTAGTTCATTTATTGAGAACTGTGAATGACAGTCTGCATCACAATTGATGACAGCTCCTCACTCTTTCAGAAACGTGAGACCAACCACTCAGTCTCTCACTCTCCCACCAGCACTGCTGCAGCTAGGATGGCCAGAACACAGCATGGAGGATCACGATAGGGGGGGCGTGGGACGTCTACTGGAAACTGCTGTTAGACTACATGCCAGATTAAACTTGTCTTAAATGCATTCAGCTACTACTCTGAGAGGAAAAACATTAGTCTATGCTCATGATATCAAAAAGAACCAGAGGCTGCTTAAACGTAAACAGGCCTTTAGAAATTAATTTGAAAAAACTATAAGTAGTTCTCACTGCATATTTGGTTGATCTGAAGGACTGATTTATAAAATGAAAGCTAAGAGACATGCAATCATGGCTGCAATCAAAATGCTCATCTAGTGAAAGTGATAAGGTACTCCGGGTAAGCTTGAATATCATTAAATACAATAAACATGGATGGATTGTTCACATTATCAGTTGAACTGTCAAACAGATCCACACTGTTGCCAACACTCTTTGCTGCTGGAGTGATTGCTCCTTGTGTCCCCTGGGAATACTGTCCAACAAGGACTCAAGCCAGGTACATGTGCTTCTTCCCATTGGCATCTGGTTTTGAGTAGGTGTCATTAGCAGAATAGCTGGCATTAACAGCAAAGTGCTGGGTTTGTCATCCATCTGACACTTTTTTATTTGGTAGATTTTCCACAAAGATGGGTTCTGTACCCTTTCGATCTGCAAAGTTTGAAAAGAAGACATTCATTTCTTCTTGTTATGAAAAACATCAGTGTATCAATCACCCAGTACTCCAAGATTCTCCTCCCAGCTACAACACATGGATACTAGATTCTAAAATACGTTGGGCACGTGGCTCCAGACTCCAGCATGGCAAACAGCAGAATCCAACCCAGAATGCAACAGAAACAATCCATAGGAAACTACATGAGATAGTCTTGCAGGCTTCTGGGTCATACACAGAACATCTGCCTGCTGAGCACACATGGCTTAAAGGAAAAAGCGTTCTGCTCTACTGAAGAAAAGAGCATGCTCACCAGGGGCATCAGAAGTAACAGCTGAAGACTTGTACCAAATACCTCAACTGCAACATCAAACCAATGCTCCTTTAAATCAGTTAATCAGATGACAGTGCTGTCACTAATCTCCTGCTCTTTGGGGGAACATCCTAAATAAATTCTCATGCAACTTGACTGTTGAGCAGTGCGCTGCTCTATAAAAGAGACACACACAGATGCACTGAGTCCCCTGTCACTCCAGGAGTAGATAATGCTTGAAACTCACAGCTTCAATTTTCTCAGCAAGTTTATAATACTGGTTCTCTCTCCTCCTTACACTGATTCTTCCCTAAAGAAACAAGTATTCCTTCAGCAAATTAGAAAACTCAAGCCCCTCTTAGGATTCCAAAGCCAGAAACATTTAATTCCACAATACTGCCAAGCAGTATGAAACAACTTATTTCTATCAATCTCAGGGTCTTCCTGCCAGACTTTCTCCTCTGCATACTAAGTGTCAGTCTGCAATCTCCTGTAGCGAAGGTAGAGAGCAATATAATTCAGCCAGCTATGAAAGGCTTTTCAAGGCAATTGCCATAACTAGCTCCACAAAAAGCCTCAAGCTTTACTATTACTCAGGGTTTGTGTTCTAATACTAAGTTAGAATTTAAAGTTAAGTCTTTCTTTAGTCCCACCAAAGAAAAACACATTGCTCATTCCTTTCCTTACTACACAAAAGCACAGTTACAGTCTCAATACATGAAAACATCACTGAGGAAAAAAAAAAATCAAGTTATAACCCTCATTGTTATAGTTTTTTGCCTTATCCTCAGCTATGCATTCAAAGGTGAATGTGACACTATGTCTCACACCTGTAAGAAGTCATTATAATAATATGACAATTTCAAAAATGGCAGAGATATCTCTTGCAATAGACTAGCAAGCAAATTCAAAGCAATTAAGTGGAAAGAATAAGATAAGTATTATTTAATCCTTCCTAGGACTTCTCTATTCACACTCATATATACAGGGAATCATTCACATGCATATACGTAGTACTACAATGCCACAAAGAACACAGAAGTAAGAGTAGAGTGACACAATCCCAGGCTACAGCAAATGAAAAGAAACCCCAAATCAGCAACTACCATAGATACAGAAACAAAGCAAGAAAAACTACTTACCTTCACAAGGCCTCCAGCAGACAAGAATCTCCACCAAGAGATCCTCACCACTATTGCCAACCCTTAAATGAGGTCTGGGAAGGGGGGGGGGGGGGTGGATCCTGACTCCACCCCTTCATGCCACTCAGTGCCATTAAATGCACCTGAGATAGCCCTGGTTGGCCCTGCCTTCCCACCAGGTGCTCAATCACTATTTCAAGCCCTGACTTAGCATTTCTGCTGCAATATGAAATGACAACTCACTTTCAAAGCATAACAAAAGGAAAGTTGCACTGAGATCACTGATAGGAAAGCTTTATTTTATAGAAAGTCAGTTTATGGATTACGAGAGATCATGAAATGTTGGTGAAATGGAGAGTGTAAAAAAAAGTTTGATTCTTCACTGCATTTGGTGTTTTCAGCTCCCTGTGTATAAAATGGCTGCGGTACTTCTGCTATTCATTGCCTGTGGGTGGCTTGTGCAATTATGGAAGATTGCAGTGGCTGCTACGTCAAACATTCACGATGAAAAGACAGGCCTTAGTAGCATGTTCTCACAAAGAGAAAAGTAGCTAAAGCTTAATTAATACATGCATAAATATATGCACTAATAGGTATGTATGTATACACTGTAGATATGCAACACTGAGCTCAGCTAGCATTTTTTCAAAGGTGCTGTGATATAACTCAATAATGGTAATATGCAAGGGCTGCTCCAGAAGTTGGCCCATGACATCAGGGATGGATGTTGGCATGACAGAAGAGTCTGAACCTTCCCACCAGTATTCCATTACAATTTGTTGCCCTGTGACAGATGGCAGCAGAGGTGTAGTCTTTCAAAACAGCGCCTGATATGGAAGTGTGTAAGAAGCAATGGTGTGTCATTGAACTCCTTCATGGTCTGAAACCATTTCCCCTTTTCCTATCACAATAGACCAAAAGAGTCTGTCCCCTGTTTTTTTATCACCTCCCTTTTGATGTTGAAAGGCCGCTATCAGGTCTACCCAAAGCCTTCTCCAAGTTTAACAGCCCCAGCTTTCAGCCCATCCTTATAGAGGAGGTGTTCCATCCCTAGGAACACTTTTTTGTGGCTCTCCTCTGGATGTCCTCCAACAGGTCCAAGTCTCTCCTATTCTCCTGGGTAACTAGTGATAGAACTAGAGGGAATGGCCTCGAGTTGTGTCAGAGAATGCCCAGGTAGGAGTTGAGTCACTGTCCCTGGAAGTGTTCAAGAAATGCGTAGACTTGATAGTCAGGAACACGATTTATGGAGTGACACTGGTAGCAGATGGACAGTTGTGGTACTTTATTTGCCACTCAGGAGAGGAAGAAGTATTTTGTATGGTATATGCTCGGTGAACTGAAGAAAAGCTTATTCTTCATCCTCCTCTGATTTTCCTGCTTTTTCAATCCTAGCTTTAAGGTCTTCCCTTAAGCAGTCTCAACAATGTTGTGGATGCAGGGTTGTGCGGTGATGTCAGACAACTACAAGTGCATGAGAGCCCTGAAGTTCAATACGGGCTTATTAAGTGAGGCTCTGGGCTGAATTTCCATCTGCCCTCAATCTGTAGAACTGCAGCTGTTTCCTGTGGTGCTAATGTCTCTGTTCTCTGTACATGTGAAGGCCCACTGCTGTAAAATAGGCATTACATTCAGAGCAGACCTTGCAGTTTGGAGCTCAGAGAGACAAGGCCCAGCATCTCAAAATATGAAGTGAAGTTAGCACTGTGTGGAAAAGGGGTTTGGACTGGGTCACCTCCACGCACTGCTTTCAACCAAAATCTTTTTATCATGTAATTCTTCTGCAGTCATTCTCAGCCATTCCTTACAACAAATTAATTCTGGCTGTGTATG